GAATGCAAACGAATTTTTGTTAATGCTCTTCTCAAATGTATCAAAAGACTGTCTCAGAGAAGTTCAGAATTGAATTATTACAAGGTCTGGTCTTTCATGCGTTCGGAAAGGGGACCATTTGTAAACGGCATTATTCTGCTCGATAACCTATTTTATTATCAAGCTTAAGTACTTCCTCCTAACCGAGAATATACTTTAGAATTTCGGCTAAAAGCTCATGAGGCGGATTACCATGCTAATCCTGTGGTGAAATCTTGACAGAAATAGATAATAAAAAGCAGAAATATATTGTCAAAATACGGTGCCGTTGTAGGAACTATCATGTATGGCAGCTAGAGAAGACAACTTCTATCATAGAAGTAGCCGACCAAAATGCATTTCTAAGATTTGATTTTGTGCATTCTACCTGCAAAAGTGTTCTACCCACACTAGGGAGCCTATCCCATGAGACACTATTCGACATTTTGAAATGCGCGTTTGACCGGAAGAGACTACATCATGGAGTATTATGCGGCATAATACCAAAATATTCCAGTTAAATTGGGATGTCGGCTATTGACTGCATGTTTTTCTGCCATTCAGAAAGGTACGCTTGTCAAAAAGTCTACCGAAATAATATACGCTTTTCCATTGAGTGCCGATACCCTTCAAAATGTGCGACATTACCCTGTCTGGCACGCAGTATGTATTACATTGCGTCATCTCTAAACGTTCCAATAAGTTCCTCAAATAGTGAGTAAGTTTGAACCCGACCCGCATTCTAAAGTTTGTAAGTCACAGGTGGTTTTCCCTCTATGCATTACTATGAGGATAACGCAAAAAGCTTATCAAAATGAACAACGAATGCTGACCGCGTTCACACTTTAAACGAAGTATTATTAAAGGGGCAGTTAAGGTATTGCTGATACAAGTGAAGATGCGAGTTCCAAGAACTAATTTAGAAGAAGAATAAAAAGAAAAAGAAGCGATCGCTGGGACAGGGGCTTTATTCGCCTGAGGTTTCGGATATTCACTAGAACCCACCATCAGAGACAGTAACATAAACGGGTGATTCGCGCACAGGAAGTTGCAGTATTTATAGGATGTAGTCGCTATGCTATCGCATAAGTATAGTAATTAACCGGGCTTCCTTTCATCGAGGATTTTTGGTCGCTGGTGTTCTAATGGCTTGGTAGCCGGGAGGTAAGTTGTTAATTGCCGGAATCTCATAATCTGTGTTGGATACTGGCGTGATGGTTGTTCGGACATCTGGCTCACCGGCTTGCGCGCTCCTCGAGTGATCAATAACTTTTGCCAGACTATCAGGTGCTAACGTTCAAAGAACGTCTCAACGGCGTCTTCTTTGACATACAATTTACAATGGAGGAGGCAGAAATAACCAACAAGCAGCCCTTGACGTCCTCGTTTGTCACAAAGTTTGTGGTGACCTAAAAATCAAAATGCTCATGAAGGCGACAAACACGACGCAAATTCTGAACTTCAGCAGCAACCACCCAACCAGCCACAAACGCGGTTGCGTAAGAACGCTATACGGCGTATTGAGACGCATTGCAGAGAACCGAAAGACAAGGTCGCCGAAGTTCAGTTTCTTCGACGGGATTTCATAGAAAGTGCTTGCCCGCGCGATTTCGCAACCGGTGCATGCGCGGACGAAACGAATGACAAAATCGTGCCGACTCACAATTCTGACGAGCCATCCCGTACATCAAGAACGTCTCCTAGGCCGTTCGTCACCTTCGTGCACCACTCGGAAATGGAGTTGCACACAGACCTGTGGCCACCATAGGGCTTCGGGCGATGAGAACAAAAGACCCATTGTCACGGAAAGAAACATCTGGAGTCGTTTGCCGCTTCTAGTGCAGCTTCGAGTAAAGCAATTTCGTTGGAGAAACTGGACGACCGCCCTGGACGCGAATTGCCGAACATGCGGCAACGACGCGGGGAAATGACGCCAAATCTCAGTTTGGGGCCCATTCGACGAGACCCGGCCACACATTTAAGTTTGACGAGGTCGAAATTCTCGCGAGAATGGATAACCACGTGAGCCGCGAGCTACTGAGTCATGGTTCACGGGACCTCAACCCATGAACAGATGCAGCGACACCCCCCCCTCCAGATTCCGTGCTGGGACGTAGACTGGTCAAAGTAATTAACCACTCGAGGAACGCGCAAGCCGGTGGGCCAGATGGCCGAGCAACCATCACGCCATTATCCAACAAGGGTGATGAGATTTCAACAATTAACAACTTGCATGCCGATCATCAAGCCATTAGCGCACCAACGGACAACAATTCTTGATGAGGGAAAGCGCGGTTAATTGCCATAAGTATGCGGTAGCATGACGAATACATCCTATGAAAACTGCAACTTTCTGTGCACGAATCACCCGTTTATGTCACTGCCGCTGACGATAGGTTCAAGAGAATATCCGAAACGTCAGGCGAATGAAGCCCTTTTTCCAGCGATCGCTTCTTCTTATCAGTGACGGTAGTTTTAACAGACAAACTGCAGTCCTTAGAATGTACAGAAGAACAGCTTTTTTCAAACTACAAAATGGTGTTTCCCTGAGTGGAAAGCTTAATAAGGACCTAATGAAACGCAAAATCCGTAAAAGTAAGGAATGCGTTTGTGCATGCATTCCACTGAATAAGTTAACCCGTACATTTACATCAAACATCCAAAATGAAAACTGTGTGCAATTTTCGTTTGTACTTTTTTAAGCATGGTTTTTTGGATGTGGCCTTGCTGGACGTTAATTCAGAATCCAGTAACTCATTGTGACTGAAATGTCTTGAGTTCGTGTTCAAAAATAGTCACTGCGTTCATGGTTCCCTGCGATCCCGCTGCGTATACAGTTTGTGAGCTTAGCTGCTCTGTCACCCTCTCGTTGCTGACCCGTCGTGGTGTTGTTGTTGGTTAAACAACAAGAGGGTTTTGCGGTTTGCTTAGGTGCAGATCCGGCCGTATTAGACACTTGCGCCCTCTTATGCCTCCGATCTTCTTGACCGTGTCTTGACGCCAGGCTCCCGCAAGGAAGTAAGAGTGTGCAGCAGATGCTGTTCAAGCCTACGACTACGTTAAACTCATTCGCGCGCATATCACCGTGTCTGCTTTACCTCGCTGTGAAACACACGGTGGACATCGTTGGCCACGACGATGAAACTGTCATGACAACTGTACCTAAGTAATCACTCTTAGTAAAACCTACATCCCTGGTTCCTTGCTGCTATTATGCACATAAACGTTAAATTCTTACTTATACGAACAATGTATTGAGTTCCAAATCAAAAGACGTGAATGCCAAGCGGTTCGTCTACGAGGAAATCAGTGAAATTGTGTTTGTAAATTTAGCTGCATTCAGGTGTAACAAAATTAAGGACTGATAGAACTGCACATATATGAAATGTTTAATACTCAGGCATTTTAGAATCTGACGTTTTTTTACCAGCAAATATTGCCTGGACCCTTAAATAAAATACTTTACGTCCCAAAATCTGCTGACTGAGGCATATGTACGATTTCGAAATATGCGGCAGAAAATCTCCTTCGACATTGACGCAATTAACTTGCCGACTGGTGGTTGTTAACACATCTGCAATTTCATTATTATTAAACAGAATTGTAATTTTTTATTGTTCCGAGGTTGCTTTTCAATTTAAATATTCTTCACAAGCGTTATCGTCATCAATTAGCAGGTTTCTGCAAGACAACACATGCTTAGCTTTCCCGTTTCTACAAACTGATGGCTACGAGAATGTCTGCCATGGAAAACGTATAGTTGTTCGATAGTCAGACACTCTCTCAAGAAAGAAAACCGTAGAAAATTCAGCTGGATACCGTCTTTGCATACATATCGTTTTACACGAAAGTATCATTTTTGTCACTGAGCGTCTGCTCTGTTCACCTACATCACGTCGTCCAACTCTCTGGCAGCTGTCCCAAGCGTGAAACCCATCATTACCGCCACTCCCATAGGATACGATCCATAGTCTACCGACAGCTAAATTGGGTCCTTCATCCTACCGTCGCCAGTTCTACACCGGTAATGCTGTTGTAAAGATGTACTCACGGAACGTATTTTCTGTTTGGATTGGTTTCGAATCAAAACCATGCATGCAAAACGTTTACGATTATTCTGGACATCAAAAAGTATTTTATGAATGCAATTTCAACATTTCGTAAACAAATACCTCTCAGTCTTTCGTTCTGAAAATTATCCTTTCCTAAAAACCGTCCCTTAAAATTGCAATGTCCCTGTTAATCTGATAAGGAATGCAGATTCATGAAAACTAAATGTCAAGAGACGAATCAACGACTGCAACTGCTACAAAATAAGTATCTGTCCAAAATGTTCTTGGACTAACATTTGTCAGCGAAAAGCAAATAGTTAAGCCAGCAACCTGTAACATTAGGGTTCCGGCCTCCTTAAATAATATTTAACAGTAATGATATCCTTTTGTTGTTCTTAGGTTAATATCTTGAAAGTATCCCTTCTCCTGTTTTCATCCTTTTCGTAAAAATATAAGGTAGTTATGGATGACCTTGAATCAGCGTAACGAAGTCAGTTCTGGACCTGTAATAAACACTGTGTCACAATTTACTCTGAGCAATGACGATTTCTGGAGAAGGAATTAATTCTGCTCCATAAAATCTGCTTTTTTGATTTCTTGCACGCATTCTTGTGAGTTATTAGGCTTGAGTCGCATCTAGCAGTAAAGATGATATTCGCCTGGAGGCTTCGACAGGCACTTCATTGTGCGAGGCTGTGTGTACTTAGCAATTTCTCTGCACCTGCCTGACGCGCTTTCGTAAGTCTGCCATGATGACAGCTCATACGCAGGTCGTGATTGGCCAACAGCTCCACGAATGTTAATCCATATCAGGCTCACGTAGAGGGCGGGACTGAGGGGGCAGGAGAATTGAGTCGAGCTATTGACAGCCTCCATCCACCAGGTATTATAACAACAGTGCAGATATTTCTGACCTCTGCGGCAGAAAATATGTCACGTTCTGGTAAGCCCATCCTCCATTCAGCTAGCCTGTCTTTTATCTAGACATTTTGACAACAGACCACGTAGCGAAACTCTCCCGCTTTAAGTAATCACTTTTTTTCACTATATTTAGCAAATGTTTATGCGATGCATGCCTCTTATATTATTTTCAAATGAGCTAAACAGCCTTAGTCTCAAGCGCAGTTTTTAGATCCTTCCTTCAGGTACTAATGCCGAGGCTAAGACCACTTGTCGATTACGTTTTTATAAAAAGAACGAAGAAGGTACAAACCTCGTAAAAGCAGTATCAGGCGCAGCACTTAATTTTTTAAGAATTAAACAAGGTAGTTTACTTGTTAGTGATTTGTTAAAATTCCATTTTTTTATTTGCAAAAGTCCAATGTCAAAAATTCTCAAAAATTGCGTTTCCTTGTCAAAAATATATCAAAATCGGAGGAAACAGTTATATGCTGCATCCAAACTAGTTAGTATGCACCGCGTGAATTTGTTTTTTTTCAAACAGAAAAACATACTTGTCTATTGCGCAACATGCTATGAGAAAACTAGCGGCAGGCGTTTTGTACAAGTTTAAATCCACTTTTATGGTTACCGTAACTCACTCAGAATTATGAAAACACTGGCGTAGAACGCGCCTCTATAATATGTTGTGCAGATTTTCACGTCTAAGTGTTGGACTTTCACATGTTTAACCTAACAAAAAATCGAATTATTCTTAAAGCTTCTAAGTGACAAGCGGGCTAATTTAAGCTTTATATCAGGGCTTTCACAGTTCCAAAAAAACGACACAGTACTAACAAATAATTCACTTCATACCGGACGTTTTGCACACTTATAAAAATGAATTTGGACATTTGACTACACGTAATCGTTTTAACCATAAGCAGAATAAAAAGCGTTTGTAATACATAAAGTAGTTAATCGACGTTTGCGTTTGAATTTTGTTTTTGGATTCCACAAAATGACGTTGAAAGTTAGTTTCTGACTGTAATTTCTGGACAAAATGAAAGAATAAACAAGCGGAAACAAACATATACACTAAAAAGACATGCTGAATAAATAGACATTCCACGCGGAATGCAAAACATCAAGTAAGCTCGATAAATGTTCGGACATAAGCATAGAGGATTTAGTCGACAGATCTCTGCATTTAAATCAATTTTGATACATGAATTGCGCAGTATTGTTACCCTGACACTGTTCTTTTAACCTACACCAAAGTTTAATGAGTGACGGTGCATCTTTTTATCAGGTTTACTATGCGTTTTAGTAAAAAAATTGCTTTGTCCCCCTTAAAAAGCACATAAGGACGCATTTTCTACGGATTACGAGCAGTTTTACATCCGCAATCTTTGAAGTCGTTACTTAAGCAATTGCTATGTCATTTTTTCAAGTGACAAGTATCATTAAATTTACTATAAGTTTTACTTAAAATATTTTTTGGACTCAGGAAGTTTTATCTCAAGCACACGATTTTTTGCCTAGGTGTACCAAAAGGTAGTAAGTCGTCTATATATATGAAAAGATATATAACTTGTATTTGCAATCTCGATTTGTTAATTTGATGTTGCTCGTCTTACATGAGGTTCCATGGTTTTTTAGGCGACTTCTATTCTACGGATATTCCTCTGAGACCCCTCTTTGGTAAATAATCCTTTGAATTCAATATTGGAATTTGCACAAACCTCTCATTTGTTAATACTAAAAATTGCAAATACATTCACTAAAACTTTGGCACCTACGTCTTTGATGTGTTGAAAAGGATAGGTGACCCCGTTTTATTTATGTATAGATGACACTACGCTGGTTTTTAATACCTATATGTTATTTATTACTTAAAAAGGGTTGTTTCGCAACCCAGCTGGTCAGTTCAGTCATTTTATGCTTCAAGAGTCTTAGGTAACCTTTTGAGAACCAGAATGCTGTACAATGCTCACTTTCCTTCCATTTTTTGTCCTTCTAACTCGTCTAGGATTCATTGGTAAGATTTTCTATCAAATGTTTTCTTATGCCTGTCTCATTGCTAATCAGCCGAATGTGATCGTATACATTATAATCATCACTGTAGATTCAAAAACACTTCTACTCTACATGCATAAGTGTCCATACGAAGTATAAAAACGAGCCTCAAACTTAGTGTAAGTTATCAAAACCACCAGTAACTGATTAAGAGCATTGTTGACCTTTGCTAAAGACCCTGGCGCGTGAGCTATGTATCCTGAAATACTCAGCCAAAATGTCAGGCTGACAATTGCAGCTATGTTTCTTACCATTACTTGCGCTTGCCTTTCATCATTTCTCAAATATTCGGTGGAAATAATCCTTGCCTTACTGGCAATAAAAAGGGTGTTTCAATATATCTTCTTACTCTTTCTTCTTTAAACGTATATTTTGTCCAACAATATATATCACGCTATATTATTGCTTTTAGACGACTTTGGTAAGTAAATCTGCAAATGAAACACAGGGTTTCTTTTACTTTTTCAAACAAACAAGACACACAGTGAAAATATTCTGATAGGAAATAAGTTGCAAATGCCAGGTTAACACAGCATTTAAAAGCGATTCCTACTGTCCAAATTTTCCCTGTAATTTAGTTACGCTCCGGCGGACCTCCGTTATTTTACTTTTATTTGACACCCACAAAAAATGTCCCTGATGAAACAGAAAGCAATATATCCGACTCATAACAAAATGTCACATTTGACGTTCCTAGTATAGAAATGACGAAAAATGTCTTGAAAGCAAATGGCAAATTCCTTTTCATACATTTGCAGGGATGTTTTGGCAGCAGTCTGACAAATAACGCTAAACCTTCTTCTATTCCTCCAGCGTCTTACAAATTAATGAATAACCTCTTTTTTCGATTTAAGGCCTATGTGAAGAATATAGTCGAGGTCGGACAAGGGATTCGCGTCAGAAAAAGAAAAGTAATAATTTATGCCACTCTTTTGAGTTTTTCTTCTTAAAAGCGAAACCTGTCATTATGTCCTGTTCATTGACGGTACAGCAGTTGATGTCACATTCAGTCGTTTTTTTAATCAAGACTTTTAAACTTCTACAAAATTGCTGTACCAAAATGCGGATCTTACTTCAAAACATTGAGTATACAGTGCCAACGGTATTCTCCCATTTAGAAATTAACAGTCCTAAGTATGGGTTTGAGACGACTGATAATTTGGGCAGATTAGTACAGTACTCTTTTATATTTATTCTGTGTATGATCAGGCAATCACAACCTCGATCATTAGCTGAGATCAGGAACACAAACATGTGTTCATACACGGCACATATTATCCACAGGCGGATTCCAATAGATGCGTTATAAACATTTTATTAAGACAAAGTTCATTGTTGCCTCGTTACCTGTCATCCTTCGCTCCTAATCGGATCCTTGCTCAGTCAGGAATGGGCACGCAACGACTCATTGGTAGTTAGTTGCCTGCTCGTGAACTTTGGCACATATAAGTTGCTTCTTGTCACAGGAAGTCAAAAGTCCCATAGTTAACTTACAGACGCGTTTTTAATTATGCTGCCAGAGCGCAGTGACATTGTGGATGCCTCGCTCATTTTTATTCATTGAAAGGTCGCATTTGTTAGGACTAATGATTGGACAAGTATTCAAACGTTTAATGGGTCTTCTTTAATCTTGTATGCAAGTGAATGTCCATTTCTATCGCTCTGTTACTGCACGCTTGGTCACAAAATTCAACCCTAAATTTGGGAATATACACAATAGTTTTTATTTATAACAAACTAAAACATGAAAGCACACCCGGTTGACCATACACATCGAAACCTCTGTTGGTAGCACTTGCTCATTTTTGTATTGCTCAAAGCTTACGTACTATTAAGTAATTAGTAGTAAATGTCAAACATTGTAAACTGCCGAGACGAGTTACGCACCACCGAAGCTGTGATGCTGTATCTAAAATAAAAGTAATTGCTCGAAGAGGGAGCGGAAGTTTTGGATGCATCTTGTACGAAGTGGCAAAATATATTTCGATGTGAGAATTGCTTACTTTTGGTGTAGAAATTAAGGGCTTATCTAGAGAGATGTGATGCGTGGCTGTGAGGGGCCGTTATTTCTAGTGAGGCCACGCATATGGTTGTAACATATTTAAGCATTTGAGCACAACTCTTATCCATCGACGCCCATGCGGTAAGTTCTCTGCGAGTCATTCTTTGAAGATTAAGGGTCCTATATACTCCTGCTTTTTAGTAATCCGTTAACTGACTAATGCTAAAAATTTATCTCATTACAAAAGGCCTAATTTAGAAAAAACACCGCTTTTCGTCTCCGGTTCGAAGTTTTCTTTTCTCAAAATGCAAACATCGAGTAGCCTACGTGAAAGCTAAAGCATGTTCGCCCTCATTTTTAAATGACTGTTCAGGTCGCTCGCAGTCATCGAGGCGTTCTTCCTCTGGGGGCGACTGGTGTCGAGGGTCCGACTCTGACTCTGACTCGAAATGTAAGAGAACAAACTCAGTGCCTACTTCCATTTTTAATAAAAAGATAGCTGCTGAACTGGTTAGCTTCTAAATTTCATCAATAATCGATGCTTAAATTTAGAGAAGGCATGTTCTCCGGAACAAATATTTTCAGGCCCTTTTGAGATTCTAATTTGGACTTTTTGGCTCTATTCGATTAACTTCAGTGGAATAACAATGAAATCGTCACAATCTACCAGTAGCTAGTCTGTAGTATTTATATTTTAATTCGTTTAGCGTACCCGTAACCAGCACTAATTTTTGCATCACAACAAAACAATCCGTGTGTTATATTAAACTGAATACTAAATAATAAAGGAAGTAATGTAGATGAAAATAACTACAGCACTATGCATATATGCATAGATTATGACATGTTTAACATCAGCATAAAATATTTCAGATATTTTATGCATGATGAAGACTTTTGTAATAGACCTAGACGAACAATGTGTACGTGATGGAACCTATGTCACCTGTAAACGCTTAGACAACACAAAAATGATGATTGACATGGTCGCTCCGTTTGGCATTAAGATCATCGTCATTTTTGCTACCACCAGAAGTGAATTCTCGGATTTGGCAGCAAAGGCAGTGATTATTTCATCCGTTCATGTATGGGCATTAGTAAAAGTACACCAAACTGCATAATCCAAGGCCCCAAAGAAGGGACCTAGGTGAAAGATATGACAATCAGACCGGACTTCTGCATTACCTGTTTTATTATTGATTATCATTCACTGTTATTTCTTTGGAATAATTCTTAATTTCTGTCAGCTGACTTTGGTTGTGAAACTGAAAACGATGAACATTTTTGGTCTATTTGTGATAAATCATGATGTTTCGAGTTCCTTTGGCTGGCAGTAAGCGCCATTATTGATGATGGCCTGATCGACCTCTTTTTTATAACGGAGTGAACTAAGTAGGTTAATGAAATCATTACAATTCGAAATAATGCTTAGGCGAAATGCGAAATTACATGGTCACTACATAAACAATGTTTTCCTGTTAGGGTTGACAAATAAGTCAATGGAAAATGTTTAACATGTGAAAGTAATTTCGAAAAATCAGGTTTATGTTTTTGCTCTCAGGAAGACACATCGTAGATCCTTTACGCCAAATGTTATTCTTTCGTCATTAAATGAACAAGCGTGCAACTTTAACTCTAGAATATTGGGAGAAGTTATCTCTGCGGTAGGACGACGTTTCGAAAAGCCAACTGTTCATTTGAAGCGCATCCTTGCGTCTTACGAAACTTAATGGTTTGAAGTAGATGTAAATCAAAGGGGACTGTAAAACATTTAAGCACCTCAAAGTCTGTCAAATCGAAAATGTCATATAAATTTAGCAACATACCCACAAGTTGGTTGAGTCGTATATGCCGAGCCGATCCTTCGTGGCCGTGGATCTGGCAATGTTTTGATAAACTCATTTCGCTAATCTTAGGCGCTCTAATGATACATGATTTATTTTTGCTTTCTTTAGATAGTTTTCTTAATCTAGTATTTTGCTCTAATGCTTGCATAGTTATTTGTATCAATTTGATGTCTGTTTCACGCCTCTTTTGACTAACTATGAAAATCTTAATTTGCTTTTCAGATGAAACGATTGGCCGTCCTAAGAGAGGTATGAAAATTAAGAAATATTTTAATATCCAACTGAATTATCTATTCCTGATATAGATTAATTACAATTTTAAGTGTTTTCTCTCTGCTAGTTTCAGATACGTTTTTCACGAAGCTTGTGTTTTAGAAGTTGGCTTGGAATAAGGCAGTATAACCTTTTTATGAAACAAACATCCAGTATTACCCCTTATGTAAATATCACATCATCGTTATAATCTTTCCAGAAGACTACATCTATAGTAGAAGGACTATATCAGGAAACGTCAACCGAAGTTCTAAAATGTTTTGTTAATTCACAAATATTATCTGGTATGGTTTTATTATTGGTTATCGGGCAGCATGTACGCAGGATAGTCTCCATAGGTGAATAAGACCGGCTTTGAAAAATCAGAAGTATGTACGAGTACTAAGTTTCCAAACAGATAACGCAGGGACAAAAATAAAAACTCCATCCACAGACTATAGACTGCAGGAGCTTGAATTATCTAAATTATTTTGTTGCTCTCCATTCAATTTACGTTATCCGACTGCGCTCAATTTAGACAAGGATGGCGGTTTTTACGGTACGTTGAAGAATTGACAGTGTTTGTCACTTCAAATTGTACATAAAGTGTGTTCTTTGTTACTCAAATATCCGATTAATCGGTCTATTTTCAGAAGTCGTGAGGACATCTACAACAAAATATCGTGGTAAGTGCCATATGGGTCTCTTAATTTGTTTATAAACTACTTCCCAGCACTGTATTAGAATGGTTGCATAACTGACACAGGTTCCTGTTAAATGAACAAATTAACTTCCTCTGTAATATTCACTTTGTGCAGAGTGTTTGGCTAGCATTTGAAACTCGGAGCATTTAAACGACGTCGGTACAGACCTGACAAACAACTCTTTCAACTCACTTTGTCGGTTACTTTTCTGACAGTTTACCCACAAAGTTCTGGTGAATCCTCCGATGACGACGAAAGCGACTCATCAACGGAAAGTTCTAAAAATGTTGTCGTTGGAAGACTTGGTAGGCCGCGTTAGTTACGCATACTAAGCAGTAGTTCTAGACAACAGTTTTTAACAAAAAGTTGCGTAGCTTTAAAAGCCAAAAACGATTAAGTTTCAATGATCTCACTTGAAATCGAATTTGTTTCAACAAACAATAGTTAACTGCCAATGCTTCTGCAAGGAGAAGGGTCTGGACGGAAGAGGGAAAAGCAAAAGGCACTCGAGAAAGAAACGAGGTAAATGCCCTCGTCTGCTTGGGACAAAATTTGGAAAATTTAGCAAAATTATTACTTTATGCTTCAATTATTTCCCTTGACTTGTTCATCTAGGCCAAACCTGTTTCGCGTTTGGAGAGTTAACCGCCCCCCACGATGCAGGCTTTGCAGAGACTATTTAAGACTCACTAGACATCACATTCACCTATGCCAAATAGTAAACGCCTAGGGATACCCGCTTAAAATAGTGTATCAAGATCATCAGCCAAATAGATGGCACGTACTTCTATTGCGCAGACTTGAACTGCGAAAATTTTCCAAACACTAATTTGAAGGCAATTAGGCAAGTGCCACCATTGTAACCCAATGGCAAAACCTGTGTCGCTGAGGGAGTCATAGGAAACACGCTGTTTCCGACGTGCTCACTAAGGATCCAGTAAGGATGTAGCTTTTCCATTCTTTTTCAATAGTTTACTATCGACATCACAGCAAGCGAAAAAATAAATGTCAAGGAAATTTTTGTATATGACTGAAATGCCGGTCATCATCCCAAGACTGAGCTGCTCATCCTTTGTGAGCTACTGCGTGAATGGTCAGGTCTCTTTTAATTCCTTAGCTCAGAAGTAATCTAGGGACGAAGATCACCCAGCTACGAGATCAGAAAGCGATAAGTACAGTGAGTGGCTGATCTAATGAAATGCAAGCCGATATTCTGAAATGCCTTTTCGATTTGGAAGGATTACTTGGATTGGGTTGAAATATTTACCATTGTGAAATATAATCCCATAAGATTTCGGACTTTCCAGATTGCCGGCTTTTGAATGCACCACTTTTTGACCTTCTGTAGGAACCACACTTAGTAAAAAATGACTATTGAATAAGCACACATTTTTCACATTAATGGTCATATATCGATAGTCTCATAAACTCAAGTAAATTTTGTAGAAACCATGAACAAAATGTGCTTTCGTTTGCGCGTTTAGTAGAAAAATACGTCGTCGTCATATTTTAAAATCCCACAAAAGTTATTTTTGCTTTTAAAAGGTTTTTAAAACCGTGCAAGGTCCATACCTACAGCATCGCAGATGACCGCTTACCAGTGCTTCCCATGAAATGTGTAACATACTCTGAATCCATAGTGGGACGGCTGAGAACCGTTTTTCAGAACCTAAATGTACATCTCCTTTGTGTGCAAAATGTGAAAAAAATGTGATTTATTACCAAAGGAGTAAGATAAGGCATATTTCTGTGTATATTTTCCAAAAAGTTTATTTGAGTTTATGATCCCATGGGCAATTAATGTAAAACATGCATGCAAATCTAGTAGTTACTTTTATACCGAGTGTGGTTGCTGCGGAGAATCAAAACTAGGTGCATTCAAAAACCAGCATCCTGGCTAATTTAACATACTCTAGAATTATGTCTCACCATAATCAAAATTACAACCCGACCTAAGTAGTCCAGCATTTCAGCCATCATTTCAGGAGATCGGTCACCCACTGTCGAACGAAGCGACTTCTTAAAACAGTAATAACAGAGCCAACCAAACGGAAGCCCAAAGTTAGCATTACCTTGTAATGCAAAGCCAGAAAAAACTTTCAAATAGTACCATGAGTAGTGTTCTATTGGTCTTCATTGGCCTTCCCCAAAACCAAATGTTTTCGAATAGCGCACATCGCGTAGCGAGTGACAACAGCGCAGTTACTTAGGAACTTTACAAATAACGCAATATTGGCTCATTTACTGATATGCCAGAATGCTGGAGGCGTATAAGGTGCTTTTTAAGTCCCCAGGACAAAAAGGTAATCAGCTTTTTGGCGAAACTGGAAAATTTTAAATCCCAGTATTCTTTTATCTTAACTGTAGTAGCTGCATACAGCTCATATAAATCCCCTATTCTTTACTGGCCTATATCCATCTTATAAATAGCCTGGTGATCAAACGGACATTGCGAACTGTTGTATATTGGCAATACCTCGAGCTTAATATATGCTCGTTCGAAAGAAATATCGTTAGGTAAACACATAAAGTCGATGCGCTTACTACACGATTAAACGAACTTCATAGCCAGGATTTGCATCATGTCTTCTGCAAGTTATGTCCTGTTGATGCGTGTACATCTTTGGTAGCTTTGCTGATCTTTGCAGCCCAGTTCCCCAACTTTTGGTTGTAATTCGTCAATGAGAAAACAATCTAATTGACCAAGTGCCACAAATTCTGACAGGATGCTAAACACAGTAAAAGAGAGACTTAGTGACTTAATGGCTTTTGCGGGCGACAAAATATGAGCTATGGCGATCTGTTCTTCAAGATTTTGAGTATATGGGTTGATTTAACTTTTTCCACAGAATCTCACAGAAGTGCGTAGAAGCCCTCCTTAACAAGCAGTACATTAGATTCTGTACAGCTTCTGTGAACATTTCATAACTTGAACGCAAAATTATTAGGCAAGTAAAATATACCTGTCACGCTAAGCTATTGGCTGTTATTCACTAACAGTTTTCCTTTACCTCACGTTTAATCCAAAGATGTCCTAGAGCCGCCTCACTTCTAAATAATTGCCCTCTTCTTCTACGTTAGAAGCTAAACTGCGCATTAATTAGTCGTTTCGTTTTGATAAGTGAATGAAAATTGACTTCAGCATCAATGACTGAAGTAAAAACTCGAGGGGTCTGGCGAAATGACCACTTCCGTTTCACTAGTCTTTCTTAAATGGTTATACCCCAAACCCAGGTTCGAAGGTTGCCGAGTTTGCAGGTTGGATATCAGACACTGCCCTTACCTGCGCACTAAGGGTACATGTTAGACGGTCTGCCCTCGAAAATATTCAGTCATTTAAGGATAGGTTCGTGGATACATATTTTTGGAGCCGGAAGTCTGCGAGCTACGTAGGTGTTCGCACTGCATAGAAGATATATTGCAAAATCCTGAATATTGGGATGAGCATTTATGGCCTAATAACTGCCATCGGTAACCTGGAAAAAAGCTCCAGTTCTCTTAAAATTATTCTAGCGCAAAATATTGGACAAAAATCTTCTTCGGTAATTGTCATACTCGAGGACAGTTGCTGTTATTTGTAAACATAAAGTTGCCGAAGTGAAAACCCCATAATCGTTCGTGCTAACTTCTGCGCACTGTTTGCCATTTCTGATTGAGATTTCTGATTGCTGCATTTTATTATTTTATTTCTATTGAATATTTCCTTAACATAAAACTTTCTGGTTAGATAACGGTTCCGGACAGAAGACGTCTCTCTTAAACACTGCTCTCTATCGCTTTTTGTATGACTTTTTTCTTTATCGGACAATTCTGGCACTTTTAGATTCGTCATCAGACTCGTTGTCTTCATCAGACAGCTCTTCTGAGGATGAAAAGAGCAAAAAGAAACGAAAGTCTAGACGAAGGCATGGTAAGTCCACCGATCGACTACAATTCATGACAGACTTCCTAAAACATGTTAGAAAACTGATTGTGTTGTTTTCTTTTGACATGCAGCCAAGAGGGACTCTTCGTCTTCGTCCTCATCTTCATCGTCTTCTTCTTCCTCCTCTTCTTCTTCTTCATCCTCGTCCTCTGATGAGGAAGTTTCAAAGAAGAAGAAAAAGGGAAAGCCAAAGAAAAAGCGCTCTGGAAAGTCCAAAAGTCAGTATTTTCTGCTAGATATATTTTTCTTTTCACAAACTTTACACAAGTACAATATAATGGCAGAGAAACAACAATTGCAGTATTTGCAACCTAGTAAATAAAGGAGTTACTTCTGAACAAAGAAGGGCATCCGTTAACATAACGGTTAATTTCGTTTTTGTCCAATCCGTTGAACACGGAAGTGAAAAAATTTTTTACAAAATTACACCATTCTCCTTGTAAAATTGTTCATTAAATCTTCCTTAAAAACAACAAGATGACCTTGTAGGCGTTTCCGATGTATACTCAATGTAAAACATTCCTCATCTCCAAAGACTGCATTCTTCAATTATTGTGTTCAAAAGTCTAGTCAATTTCGCTCGCTTATTTGCAATTACTCTGCGTTAAGCTTCTGCTCGTAACATTTTATTTCAACTACTAGAACCGGGGACAAAGAAATCAAAAGCCCCTCAATTTCGAGGTGAGTTTATTTATTTTAGTAGGGGTTTTAATTCCATGACATTCTATAAGCAAATAAATCATCAGCACTAGACGCACGCAATTATGAACATTATTTTAAACTTTTCTCTGGAGTAAAATTGGATAATATGTATTTAACAAGAGCAAGGAATGATTATCCACATTATCTCAAGCCTGAGGATATTACTGCGTTTGCTGAGTATTCAGGTCTTCTGAAAATCAAATCAGCAGGCGTGCAGAGACCACAGATTTTTGCAGTTTATGAATACGACTACCGGACATTGTCGAGATAGTGCATTATATTCCTCACCCCTCCTTAGCATCGGAACCTAGATAAAACATTTAACTTTGACTGAACGACTAACTCTTATATCTGCTGTCCGCGGTTAATATCATACAATTTTTCTCAGTGCATTCCTTTATCTTTTACATTTTTTGAATGCTAATGGTGCAGTATTTTGGTTTTATGCTTGAAATTTATTTTCTTTCTCCTTAGGCGTACCAAAGGAGATTGTCATAACATTCTCGGATTAAGGTTCGTGCAGATATTTTGTTTTGTTTAAATGAGCTAAAGCCAAACGGTTCGTATCTGAAGCAACGCAGTCTACACTTTTTAAGAAGAACAGTGACTTCAAAATCAAACTACTTCCGTCCTTTGATGATAACGTCAGAAAAATGGCTCGGGACTTACCAGGTCGCAAGGTAACTAGATAGCTGATAGGGAGATTGGGACAGGAAGTCTTTCAAAATTCATCCTAATCCTTCCAGTTTGTCGATCTATTTCGGGTGAAATTAACCGGCCTGTGTGAAGTGGACAACTCACAGCCGACATTCGAAATCCTTGCTTAAATCAAGGACATCAAGGACGTTTGAGTTCAGCACCAACCGTCAAATAACATTCTGGCATCACTTTGAAGGTGCTTATTACGCGCCGCATCGCTTGATAAGTGATACCTAAGACCCATGACAAATCTGAATAACCGTTCTTTACTCTTCCTGTTGAGAATCAGACAAACCACAACAGTAAACTCTAAAGGCATGATAGTTGAAATAAAATAGAATCGGTCATTGAAGTGCACTCTGGCATTTTAATAACAACTGGCCTAACCACCGTTGACTTCGGTGGGTACTGCTTAAAATCACCGTACACATGGCTTGACCTTTAAACCGCGACTGAGACACCTATCTGACTATACGGCATCAGGGCAATAATGGATGAGTCAAGCAGACGAAGGGGCAATAGAACAGGATGTTTTGGCATTGACTTAACTTCCTACTATCTAGGCAAGATCATGCTTGTTACTGAAAGTAGTATCGGCGACGAGCAACGACAGCGGGACTGCCAGTCCTCGTATTCTTCATTGTTGACATAACCCCCTGTTTTATTTACGTTTTTTTCTCCAGAGCTATCGATCCACTAAACGTTATTCGAGGAAGCTGGCTGGCCGAGCTTTTCCCCTGACAGAATAATCGCTCAAACTGATAGTAAAACAGTGCTGAAAATGTGAACTTTACAAAAATGGACACTTCTCCCCAACAACTTTTGCTTGTGCCTTTCGAATAGGTTTATAACACTAAATAAACTGAACTGTGTGAACTGTTCCACCATTTTTATGCATTGGATTTCACTAGTTGTGAATATTCCCCAGGGCTTAATGATATGTCATCTTAAACCAAAGACAACAACGGAACTGCGACAAGGTTCATATAAGACGTTTGCCTTACCACAATTGCCCGAAATACAAGTGAGGAGTGCGCATGGGGCAAATACACTCGATAAGCTCGTACTTCACATAGTAAAAATTACTATGATAATTGCGGAAATGCACATCGGATCCTAACATTTAACAATTCTGGATCTGAAGCAGCATTATTATGACTTACTTGAAATAGCAGAGTTGACTACCGATCAGCTTTTCATTACCTAAGCAAATTTATGCAGCATTTAAAAAAGCACTCAAACTAACGGGTTTTGAATTTAATCCAGTCCCTCAAAAATAATACGATTAGGAGGACGTCTGTGTTTCAGGTTCGTTTAGGGCAAATTTGCAAACTTCGATTCATTTTCGTAGGCAACCATGCTTTGCATAATGCGACTCGGCAGTCAACATGCCCAATGTATGTCTGCAAACCATAATTATTCGCTCTAATACTCCGCGTAAATGATCCAGGAGTCTAGTTTACTGTCAAAATCTCATCTTTTTTGAAATATACGTTCGCTTGGTATCTGCGGCTATATTATAAAGGCGAGCTTCTAAAAAACCAAAGTGGAAGACGATTACGTGTGCTTTAAAAGTTTTCTATGCTTTGACACTTCCACTGATTTTAATTTGAAGACTCGAGTTCGTTACTGCGCTTTTCAGCAAAAGTTAACTTCCCTCTGTTAAAAGCGGATGTTGATATCTGGATTTTAAGCGTTTCTTGTCTACCTTAGGCTTAAGAAGCTAGGACTTGGAGAACAAACAACGAGGCATAACTGGTCGGCTCTGCATGGAGCCTTTACGCATAAAAATACTAACTGTCGGTACTCAGTAACTACCCTATTATCTTGAGACAGCTTTCTCATACAACTAAAATGGACTTAAAACGCATTTAATAATGCTCGAAAACACCATTTTAACCACCAATCTGGCTTATAAGTACCTAGATGTCAAAATTAATTCTCGTGTATTCAAGTGAGTCACGTTACTCGTAGCTGGCCAGGACATGGAGGATAGCATACACCGAGTAATTGAAGCGCTGGGAAAAAACGTCTGGCTAAGGCCAAGTTGAAGAGAGTTATTAGACCCATCGCCACGCTCATGCAGGCGAAGCGGTAGAAGAAGAATTCGGTCACCATAACTGTACGATAGAGACAGAAGGAAACAAAGAATATGAGATGGTAATAAAATATGTAAAGAGGATGAGTTACGACATAGAGATGACCTGTCTGGATTGAGAAGTGGCACCAGCATGTGTACAATACAACCGACGAGGCACGCAGCATTGTAAGCAACTTCATGGGTCCTAGAAGGTGCGGATGCGGAGCGAGAAGCGAGAGTTGCGGCGTTACGGGATGGAAGTCGGCAATAGGTAGTAAAAGGCGTGGGCTATTTTCACCGACACGCAGTTAGACCATCACCATCCCAGATTTGTGCTGAAAGTGTTCATTTCATCCAAACAACGCAATAAAGTGTGTGGGACCTTACAACTCTTCGTTGAGAAATTTCCTCTTAGGTGCGTACACGTAATTTCATAAATACAAACAAAAATTTGGATCTGGTAGTCAAAGTCCTTATTTACCCCTCACTCTCAGCATACAGAAATAACTTAACACGACCTACATCGACGAGGCAAACTGTTTTTGAGCAGAATGATAACTACAGCGTTCACTGTCGATTAAGATGTTATTTAGGGGTCATTGCTTTGAGGAAGCGTAAAAATCGGAGTTAGTTAAGTGGAATATTCGCAGATACAGAATTTCGGCAAAATCTATGGGAACCCGACACTAGTACTGGTGCCACCGCATGACAAGTCCGTTGTCTGTCTGGCGGTTAACTTCGGATCAGGAAACGAAATTCATAAAAAAAACCTGTCCTACTGCGCTTAAAAGCGGTTATTACTTCATATTTAACGGATATTTAATTTCGTAATCGGTTTCCGGAAGGACAGTGCTGAAGTATTGTTTTAGCGATCAATTTCGTGTGATGAAGGGGCGAGGCGTCTAATGGACTTGCGGTTTGCACTTAGCTGCTGAATGATATTACTCGTATTCAAAGCAGTAAGAACGGGAGTCTGTAGTCAAACAGTACCCTTTACAGCAGTCGAATGCGTGTCGAGTTCGCCTCGGGTTCGACTCCTGGACCAATCAAATTGGTATCGAGGTCGAAATGGCCACGAGTTTAGTTTCGTATCGAACTAGATTAACCAGACACAACACGCGCATTTTCCTCACGGCAACCTGTCATAATTCCAAGGCGCATCTACGGTCAGGCATACACCAACCTTGCAAGAATTTGTTATTCGAATTACGACCCATATTTGCTGTTCGCCAGGGGAAATAAAATTAGACTGCAAAAAGGATATTAATGCGTAAAACGATTTTATGTAGACGGGAATGACATAGCAACGAGGAACGGAATGTGAAATAATATTGCAAAACGGAGGATTTCGGAGCAGAATATTGCCAAAAAAACAGAAAAAAGGGCTTTGAATCTGTAGTACGAAAGACTAGTCAATCGCATTAACGGATTCTTTATAAAAAGGACACAACCATGTACAAAGTAGCTCTACGAAATGAGTGACTTCAGATAGTGTTCTGATTCATTAACATAATTTTATGGTTTTTTACCTAGTGATTAACTCACTAAGCAAATTAGCTGTTCGCGTTTGCATAAGTCTCTTTGACTGATGCATCTGTCTCTCGAAATCTACTTATCGAAATAAACAAAATGCGATTATGAGTTACGGATATACTGTATAATTTTAAATTCCTCTTTGGAAACGTCATCATTTCAGTTGTCTCTCTAAGTGAAAACCTTCGAGTTCTTAGTTTCACCAACCTATTCTCGCAGTCGGAACCACCGTTAACCAGACAAGCAACGGACTGAAATCGTTCCGTGTCCTTATCTTATTCCAGTTCATTTAATGGCTTTATGCGCCCTATCTTCAACTAAAAAGAGGTGTCATCACCACTGGTATCGCAAGCCAGTCTGTCATGCATGAGTTAGAGCAGTGTTGTCATAATGACAGCCTTGTAGACTTTTGGTTCAGTACTGCGATTGAGGACACAGCGGTTTCACACGGAGGCTTACAGCCACCTGGAAACTTGAATGAATTCAGAAATCCGATGAAAAACACCATCGACAGTTCTGATGTTGCATGTGGGTGTGCTGTCTAAATATACGCTTTTGTCGATTACTTTTTGGTAAGGTGTCATTTATTCTGATTGGGGAAGTCTTAATAACCAGTAATGGGCGACGACTAGTCATAACCATCGTTCTAAGCGAATTCATTGTAGTCAGAGGTGTAGAGGTCCATGTTCCTTTGCATGGCTGCTTCCGTCGGGTCAGTAAACATACATCTGTCCATAAGAGTGAGTTTATAGCATCACCGATAAAGACAAGGAGGACCGAAATGACCATCTCTGAGCTATTTGCCGTCGTCAGTCAGTCATACCCAACCTCGAGGTGTGGAACATCTGGGGCTCGATCCCGCGATGTGTTGGTTAGAAGTCCGACACCCGAACCACCTGGTCACGGGTTCGTTGTCCTGTCAGCTGGGATTGGAGGTGAGAGCCCCAAGACACAACGTGATGAGTGGGTTTCGTAGCATGACCGGTGAGAGCCCCTCTACCAGAAGGCCTTATCTACGATGGTTGATGAGAACGCAGTATTCTAAGCCAATTCGCGAAAAATGCAAGCCGTTTTCGCTTTAACTGTCGAGTCCACGGGTACCGATGCTCCATTCCCGTCAGCGTTACCTATCCTGACGCAGGCTTTAAAGTCCTCAAGGACAAGGAGCTTGTCTGCCGTCGGCACAGTCGATAGAAGTGCGTGTAGTTTTTGGCAGGAGTTTTTCCTCACCTCGTCAATTTGATCATTGGGGAGCGTACACACTGACGACGGGGACAAAATTGGCGCCCAAGGAGGAGGCACAGGGTCATAAGTTGATCTATGATGCACCGCAGCAGACAAACAGTCTTTTCACATCGTTCCAAATTATAAAGGCGGCGCCATCGTCGTGTCTCCCTGTATTTGGACGACATCGTAAGAAAAAGAAAAAGAATATGCAATCGAGGCCCATTTTATCTGGCCTACCCTATTCAGAGGATAGGGTCCGGTTGATAGCAGCAATATCCATTTTAGCGCGTCATTCTGCAGCAACTAATGTTGTTCTTCTTTCCGGTTGGTCGTACTGGGGGCTGTCTGAATGAGAACGCACATCCTACGTTGCCTGTGGGCGCAAAGTGACCCCTTTAGTCAGCAACAGTCACGGAGGCCTATAATGTCGGAAGTGGCCTCTGTGAAGGGTTCAGCCGAACATGTGCATCCAAGAGTGCGGTCAACAGACATCCGCTCATTTTGGCAAAAACAGTCAGCAGAAGTTAACCACGATCACAGACTGCCCTACTTGCTGTCTGAAATTAAGGGGTAGAAACTTGTGGATAGCAGGGGCCCTTGAATGCGAAAGGTGGATACTATCTGGATTGGTCAGGTTTCTCAATCATTATAGTGAGGAGCACCAAAGACACGCTTGAGTGGGCCGAGAACGACGCCAGTTTGCTAAATACAGACAAACATCTCAGCTTGCTGCTTCTCGTGTTCTCCAGCGACATTGTCGAAGAAAATGAGATTGTCGTATTGGGAGTGAACAAAGAGTTTGTCGTGCGGTACATCGATAAAGGACGTGTGAAAGACATGAAGGTCATTGCAGCCTCGAAACGCCTGTGTGCCTGTGTCTAACCGCATCGTTCCGACCTGG